GGAATCAAACCTTTGACCTTGGCTTTACTAGTGCCACCCTCAACTGGCTGAGTTAAAGGAACCAAAAATAACACAATCCATAATTCTGCTGCTGTTGCATTGATCTTTTGACTTTCGCGACCAGCTTTAGCAATCATGTCACACATGCCTTCTTTTGTCCCCACATCCTTTTTTATCTGAGTTCAGATCCATTGAAGTTTGGAATTTTGTTATCTTTGCGGGGGCGAAGAAGAACTTGAGGGGGAGGGAAAACAGCAGGGTGCGGTTTTAGCATAAGCATATGCCCGCATTAAAAATTGAACCAGGAGCTGTTAAAATAACAAGGGAATGCCAGGATGTTTGATGGTAAGTAGGACAGAACGTTAAATCTTTTATTTTGTACCAAGCTGATGTATGGCCACTAAGGGTCTCTGCCCTCCAGAACAAGTCTTCGTTCCACTAAGTCCCCTTCCTTCCCTCAGTCAACTCACTCTCTCTTTCCCCATCCCTCCATCTACTCATCCAATCATGAGTCAAACAGGAGCTTCCCCGCTGCAGGTGTCCACAGTAACTCTAGCTGAGTTGCAAATGAAAGCTAATGAATAATGAAAATGGCATCAACGATGTTGATCGTAATTCTTTTTTTGGGTTGTTTCTCTCAGTTTATGTGCTCAGCTGGAGCGCTGCTGTATCCATGGAAAAGGCATTCTGCCGCTTTACTCCTTTCTTGAGGAGATACAGTGGTATAATCAATTGTTTCAATCGCTGAAACTGGAAATGAAGATTTTCCAGTCTATTGCTAATCCCCACCGTCGCCCCCGCCCATCTTCATTGTTCTCCTTCAGTGCAGTACAGGAAAGGTCAGGATGGAGAGATGGATTTAAAAGCTGTGATTGCAGCAGAGAATCTTGTGCCCTTTCAGAGATGAGATTGAGGGGTTGTACATCTCCGTCTGTCACCAGTGAGTGTGCTGACCTCCTCCACCTCTGCCTTTTCAAGCCTTAGTGAGAACAACCCTTGGTCCTTCCAGGCCAGCATCCATGCTGACAGACAGGAGAGAGCATGAAAACAAGGAGCTTATCTGACTGAAATTCATCCGGAATGAAGCTTCACACAATATGAAATAAAAGGAACTAGGTACCAGAATTTACAAACATCACCACATGCTCATGTTTCAAACAATTATCACACATTTGCTTGCAGTGAAAGTAAAACTCAACTTTACTGGTATAGCAATGTTTTGAATATTTTAGCTGTAGTTTTATATTTCACTGTAATATGTCATTTATTGTTGAGCTGTATAGTCCAAAAAGTATAGTACCAGCCATGGTTATTATTGCTATACTGTACTTGCTTGTATTTTGTTGTTTACGTTGGTCTGCACTTGTTGTGTGACAAAAAAAAAAAAGGATTTTAGAAAAAAAAATGGTAGGCTATTAAACTTTACAGTGTTTTCTCTAATTTGACCTGCTTAAAATGCATTAAATGGGGTTGAGTTAGGGAAGAAACTGATGGTGGTTTGAAAAAAATATTTTAAATAAGCATATTTGATTAACAAAATGTTCAAAATCCAACCTGTTTTCTGTAGTGGTATAGTTGCACCTACTATTAAAACTCACTCTGGTAGTGTTTTGGGATCTGTAAGATTTTTTTAATGTTTTTGAAAGAAGCCTCTTATGCTCACCAAGGCTGCATTTATTTAATCAAAAATACAGTAAAACAGTACTATTGTGAAATATTATTACGGTTTAAAATAACAGTTGTCTATTTGAGTCCGGATACGTTTCCTTTGTTTAGTTGTCCGTTCTCCGTCGTTTTTAAGTGGTGGTTGTGTTTCTAATGTTCTGAGTATTTTGAGTTATGTTAACACAGACTGCTGTGTTAGTATCCCATCTCATCCTTATTTTGTGATGTCAAAGCTGAATTTTCAGCATACTCCAGTCTTCAGTGTCACATGATCACATGATGATCTTTCAGAAATCATTCTAATATGATGATTTGCTGCTCAAGAATTTTTTTTTTTAATTATTAACCATATGCATCAAACAGTTGTGCTGCTTAATTTTTTTGCGGAAAATATGATTTTTGTTTTTAGCATTCTTTGAGTAGTTCAAAAGAACAGCATGTATTGGAAATAGAAATCATTTGCAACGTTATAAATGTCTTTACTGTAACATTTGATCAATTTAAAGCATCCTTGCTAAATAAAAGTATTCAATTCTTTAAAAAAAAGAATTGTATTGACCCCCAAGGATTTGATCAGGAGTGTATCCATGAGCTTAACAAGCAGTGTCGCCTTCGGTGCCGTCTGCTCTCTCTCTTTATTATTATGTAGAATATTGAGTATTGGATTTCCTTGGTTCCCCTCAGCATCAGATCCGCTCCACTGGATTTTCCCAAAATGTTCTGCCCACAAGCAAAATGTTTCCCTTTATTCACTTCATCCAGTCCTCTCTATTCTCTTCTTGCGTCCTATCACCTCTGTTCTTTCATTGCCCTTTTGCTGGATTTCATCTCCTCGTTCCCGTCGGCCTCTAGCATAGGAGAGTAAACACAGAGTGTGTAATTGCTCCCTGTTGCCTTCTGTTTTTGTAGTAATTGCACTAACGACTGCAAACTGTGCTTCAGATGTCCCAGACCAGCAGCCACTGTCCAAGGTCACCTCAAGGCAAACACAGGAAGAAGAGTAACAGGCATGTCACACATACCCAACACAAAAATCTCATAGTGCAACTGCGGTGTCAAAATTCAATGGCCACTTGCAATGTCCATACAGTAATCGAAGGCAGGCAGGTTAACATGCAACCAGTGAAGAACAATGCTGAACAGTCCAGTTTAAATCCAAGCTGGTTAGTGCTGGTCTATAACCAGGGGTAATTTAGTCAGGGTTGGAAACATTATAAATATTAGTAGCTTAGATTCATAAATATATTATTAGAATAGTAATATATTAATACATATTATAGAATATTAATTCTAATATGCAATGTAATATAGATGCAACTGGTTCACAGACACTTCTGCTGGGTCTTTTGCTAGTGGCCATTTACAGTTGACCTCAAAAACAGTTAAATAATCAAAAGAAGCAATTCACAGTTACAATATGGACTCTCCAAAGAAATGATTTTTCTTTTCTTACCCCCAGAACACTAAAGAATATATTGTGAAAAGGTCTGTTTCTTTTTGTCCATACAATGAAAGTCAGTATACTCTCAGAAAAAAATACGTTTTCCTTCAAAAAGATACACTTTTATACCTTATTTACCCCCTAAAGTGTGCCGCCAGTGACAGCTTTTGTATCTTAGAGGGTCCAGATTGGACAAAAACAGATGAAACATCAAAATACCTTTTGTGTGTGCGTGTGTGTGTGTGTGTGTGTGTGTGTGTGTGTGTGTGTGTGTGTGTGTGTGTGTGTGTGTGTGTGTGTGTGTGTTTCACAGAAGAAAGTCGGTTTGGAATGACATAAGGGTGAGTAAAACAAAAAAAAATTAATCTATGCCTTTAACATTTTGATGTCGACTCTACAGTTGTCACAGTGTGAAAAAACTCGAACTCTCCTATTAGTCAACAAAGCTATAATAACACAAGGTTTCCATTTCACTCAATGCTTTTTAATGAACACTGTTACTTGAAAATAAACAATTCACTCATTTATTTTTAAACATTAAGCCTGTGCTACGTTAAAGTTCAGAAACATAAAACACAAAAATGTCCTAGCATAATAAGCATATTTTTTTCCCAAGCAACTGTCCTAATGAGGTGATGTCGCTGTAATACTGATGACAAGACGCTGCTATCCAGCTCAATGCTTTAAACCGGAGAAGTGGCTTAATACATAATAAACACTGAGCTCTACAGCTACGGGTCACCTTGACAGCCTGTTCCCTTGACAATCATTATTTTGAGAATTTTTTTTGAAAGTTTGCTTTCTTTCCAGAATACTCTAACCAAAGTGTTGGTTACACTTTATTTTACAGTGTCTTTGGCTACGTTCACACTGCGAGCCTTACTACTAAATTTCGAATTATTGATCAGATACGATTTTTTTTAATATTTCTGATAAATCCAATATTTCCGATAGCTGTTCACATTATTGTTTTAAATGTTGCTAATATCAGATTCCAGTGCGAACAGATCATGCTCCTGGACTGACACGCATGCGCAAAATAACGATAAAAAGACGTCACGCAGCACGCTGACATATGGAAGTAAACACAGAGGACATTAAACCTAGCATAGAAACATTTCACAGCACCTTCTCAAAGTCTAAACTTATTTTCCAACATAAATAGTCAATGCATGGATTAACAACAGCTGGTAAATCCTCAAGACCCCTGTCAATCTGATTGCTTTTGTGCATGCCATCAGCATTTTCACAGGTTTGCGTTTTTAAAGCTTGCGCAGAGATACAAAAAAAAAATATATATATTTATATAAATATACTGTATATATATTTCAAGGTTTGTGTTCTCGAGCCACCAGGCACTGTTGTTGTGCGAATGAGCAGGCCGGAGCGCGTTACTGGGTTTTCTGTTAGAACGGTGTCGTGTAAGCGGCCCATTAGTTAATAACTAGGGCCTAATGATCTTTGCAACGGAAGTGAATCGATCAAAACTAACTTTAGCTGGACAATAACTTTATTCTAGAGCTGCTGTAAAGCCAAAACAATCTCTGTTAATTTCCTATTATCACTGTAAAATTATCACTGTCTTTAATTTCCTATTATCACTGTAAAGCTGCTTTGAAACAGTCCATATTGTTAAAAGCGCTATATAAATGAAGGTGACTTGACTTGACTTGACTAGCAATTACATTTATAGTGTGATCTGCTGCGGAAGCCGGCAAATTTATGCTCAGGCAATATAAAACAAAGAGAGCACAGTTTTTAAACATTTATGATAGGAGCTCTCATGTTTTGCTTGTATATAAGTATAAGTTCTTACCTTTCACAACTGTCTTGTATGTAAAATATTTAAAGGGATAGTTCACTTTGAAATACATTTTTACATGTTTTAGCTTACCTCAAGGGCATCCAAGATGTAGGTGTCTTTGTTTCCGCAGTAGTTTCAATTTTGATATTTTTAGGTCAAACCGTTCTTGTCTGTCAGTCATATAATGCAGGTCTATGGTCACCACCTCAAAGAGCATGCACAGAGAAGTCCAAATTAAACATGATTTAATGACTCGTAAATGTAAGTACACATTGATGGCCTAAGACACGAAACGAGCGGTTTGTGTGAGAAAACGAACAGTATTTATATCGTTTTTACCTCTTGTAACCACAGCCACGTCCAAGTGATCTGAGGGCGCCGGCGCTTCGGTCTGCGCAAGCGCCGGAAAGCGCCGGAAGTGATCTCTCGCGCGGTTGCGAAAAAAATTAAACGTTGTCTGTTGATATATCGAAATTTCCTGTATATCTAAATATGTTTAGATCTTCACAGTGAAAGGTAACACTTCCGAAATCTCTGTGTAAACAATGAGTGACATACACGCGCGAGAGAAAGCGCCCGCGCCCTCAGATCACTTGGACGTGGCTGTGGTTACAAGAGGTAAAAACGATATAAATACTGTTCGTTTTCTCTCGTTTTCTGAACTATCCCTTTAAAGTGACTCCCATGAGTGCAGAATTGTGACGAATGTTGCTCTAGAGTGACGTAAAAGTCGCATGAGTTCCAATATGACTGTTCAGAGACTGAGGTCGCATTGCAAAATATCTGGGGCCTCATTTATAAAACTGTGCGTAGGATCCTTACTAAAAGTGTACGTGCGCCCGAAAGCCAAAAATGGCGTACGCAAAAAAATATTCAGATTTATAAAAACGTGCGTACGCCAGAACCTGCGCAGAATTCACTTTATAAATCCCGATAAATCTCAGTCAGCGGAAGATTGTGCGCACACGCGTCTCCTCCCCGAAATAACCATATATGGAGCTTACAACGCCTAGTTTTACTATGCATATCTTCATCTGCATATCATTTGCATATGATTATTCATCCACGTGATAACATGTTTAACGGTATAGACATTAGGAAAATATGAAATAGCCTAATACGGATGTGCCGTCACATTAGCCTACGTTAATAAAAATAATTTAGTAGCCTATCCTTGCCTTGTTTTTGAATAAATAAATCAAATAGTGTAAAATACATTTCAGAGAAAGTTTTCACAATCTTTTCCACTGACCAAATAGTATTTTTTATTGATTTATATTTGTAATGGAAACAGATTGACTGTTGTGCATTATTTGCACGAAACTATTTTCTCAGACAATCTTCTATAAGCAATTATCTCTTTAGTTAAAATATTAAAACACAGCATGCCAGAGGAAAAGTGTTCAAAAGCATTGCATCCACAAGAAATATTTATATTTATTGAATATAAAAAATGTTGTAACTTCTCAGTAATGATTTCATGTTTAAGTGTTTAACTCCATCAATGACAATGGCATATTTAATCTAAATGTTTATATCAGAAGTAAAACAGTTTAAATCATTCTTTTATTTATTTAAACTGTTATTGTGAACATGCACTGTTTTTATGATTAGGACTCTGTCGTTAGATAGGCGTTAGTTTCACTAAACGGCACAACGCGCTCGCTGGCGCGGACATTTAAGAAGGGATGAATATTTGCCTCAAGTGATATGCTTGGTGAGTGAAATTATATTTGTATTATCTTTCTGTATAGCCTATGTATAATTTTCTTTAGATTTTCTGTCTAAAAGTGACCAAAAAGACATTTAACTCCAGCTCACCATTGGTGTCGCCAAACTGCTCCGTCTCCAAAACGTTCGTACGCATGGGTCAGAGTTTGTGTGCAGGTGCGCACATTTTTCCGTCAAGTTTGTTTTTATAAATCACAACTTATGCGTCGGAAGTGGCGTACGCCTCTTTCAGGGCCTGTTTTGTGCGTACGCAACGGTTATAAATGAGGCCCCTGACCTGTATCGGATTTTGGACCACATATGGAAGTGGAACAAATCGGAATTGAAAAGATCAGATTCCATGTGGTTTGTGCTGTTCACACTGTCATGCGAAAAACAGATCTGAGTCACAAATCGGATTTGGTCCACATTTACCTGCAGTCTAATCGTAGCATTTGTTACACATGCTACATGTACTTATTAAAGTAATTACAATAAATAATGCATAATTAATTACATGCAATAACCCTAAACCCAATCCAAACCCTTTCGTATGTTGTCAATTAATATTAATAACAACATAATGTTTACTGTCCTGAAGGATTCTGCGAGCTACACTAGGCTTTGATCTTTCTATCCATTCAAATGCATATTCATTTTACAGACATAACTAAAAGTGTAAATCTACAGTTCTGCTTGTGTTTATCTAGGTTTATCAAAAGGAATTGACACCAATAACCTGGCAAACCTTGGCATGATTAGTTCTTTATCAACAGCCTTCCTCACTATTGCAACATTAGCTGTCATATTGAAGCCTGCCATATCAAGAAAGTGCTCGCATTTTTTTGTGTGCAGTATGCATCAGGCAGCCAGTGACAGACTGGGCGATCTGTGGGTGTGCCATCTGAGACTTCGGGCTTCCATAACCCAACATATGCTGCTAACCAGCCCTGCAGGGATTTTCAGCAGGGATTTTAATTACAAAATACGCCAGAGTCCAGCGTCCAGTTCCACTACCAGACCTGTTGCTCTAAATGGTATCTGATCTTCCTCAACACGGCGTGGAATCCGTTCTGACACCCTTTTATCACCCTATTGGTGGCAAAGAGCTGGGAAATGGGCTCTCACAGAACTGCAGCATCCCTCCTCAGTGAATTTAGGAAAATAACTAACTGTCTGAGACTGATACGTGAGGGGAATCTTTAGCTGACTCGGAGAGAGGGGGAACAGGGCCCGCGGGGGGTCTTGCGTGGCCCGTCGTCGATGATGAAGGACATGTGAGCGCTGGAGTGATGACTGCAGAGAGTGTGTGTGTGTGTGTGTGTGTGTGTTGGGATGTGGTGACAGGCTGGAGACCGCAGTGCCGTTCTCCCTGTTCTCCCGTTGACACTGGCTAGCTGTAATGAATGCAAAATTGATAGGGCTCATTGAAATTCACAGACAAGAGGAATCTCCATTGACTAGTCCAGCAGCGGCGGCAGCTTGTTTGTAGGAAATTAATTTAATAACAAGATCAGTAAGGCGTCGTGATCGTAGCCTTGCCCCAATTTCCATATTAATGAATTTGTGAGGCATTTCTGGGCGAGGAGTCGTCACCTATTACCTTTCCTCCCCCTTCAGCTGTGTTTTGTTTGTTCAGCTTGGAAAAATGACACATTGGAGGAATAATGGTGGGAAACACACTCTTCACTCTGGGATTCAAGTGTCAGATATTTACCATGTAAGCATAATCTTGTAGCGCCTTGTTAATATAGATGTTATATACTTACAAATTCCAGCAGAGCTTATAAACTTGCAGGCACTTGTCTTTTAATGTATATTTTGATGTATTATGTATGGGGTGTGTGGTGAATTGATGCTTTGAGTTCATAGACATAATAAAGATTTATGTGACGGCTTGAGGGACAGCTGTATTCGCTACGCCTGAATTATACAACAGAAATGCAAAAGGAATACGGTATGAATTCAGTGTTTGTGCTCGTCGGATGAGATGCCCCAGAGATTGGCCTCTATGAATTTGTATTTCTCTGCAAAGGCAAATTAGTTGTTGTGTTGTTTTTAGACATTATCTTATTCTCTGTCTCTTCGAATTCTTCTCTCCTTATCTCTGCCTGTGGCTGCACTATAGTCCAGACTGTCTTTTTTTCTCTTTTTCTAATTTGCTCTCCAACAGGTCTCTCATTTATCTCAGGGCTTGTGTGAGAGGAAAGACTCTCTTTCTGCTGAACTGTGACTGCTTCAAATCCTCAGGCAGAGAGAACAACTCAATCACACTGAAACACTGAGAGCTCTCACAAAGGCCGGTCATTTGTTTCAGAGCTCCAGACTTTTCCTGCAGATACTAAAACTGATGGGATTCAACTTAATTTTAAGTAATGTCACATGTCTCAAAGTATGGGGAACTTTATGCTTTCTCAATTTCAACACATCAAGCAGTATATTAACCAGAATATAACATGAATAGGGTACTGACACTCTTAGAAAACTCTTTAAAAAAGTAATCACCCCCCCAAATGTAATGTAAGGCCACTACCTGTACATGGGTTAAGGTTAGGTTCAGGGTTAGTACTGTACTGTGGACTGTGGCACCCATATTAGTTAATCTAGCATACGTATGTAATAGTTCTCAGAGAAAAATACAACCGGATTTTTGCCTCTAAAGGCTCGTACACACCGGGACGAATATCGGCGCGCGTTATTCGCCAGCGTTTTTCAACGCGTTTTTTGTGTTCACACCCAAACGATTTTCGCTGACGATGAGCCGAGTGAACATGCAAATTCGTTCCCTGAAATTAGATGGCGCTTAATGCAAAACAGAAATAGTCCTATTTTGTAGTCGCTGTCGCGTTTGTCATATAGTTCTTTATGTTCCGACACCAACGAGACCAGCAGCTCTACATTCATCTTGCCTTGCATCTTCCTCGTCTTATTTCTCCTCGGCAGTGTAGACCATAGATATCCATAATAAAGGCCATTGGCCAACATCTAGCCTTTATTATGGATATCTATGGTAGACGCTACTTGGCGTATATCTTCTTCGCCGTTACGTATGTGTGCTCGGCAAGACCGTTTTGTGTTTGAGCGCCCCCAAGTTGTGTTTTACTGTAACTTCAGAAGCTCCAGACACGTGAGTAAAAGCGCCAATCTCATTGGTCGGATAGTTTTTGACGCGGCGCCTCAAACCCAAAAAACGTACCCGAGGCGGTTTTTAAAAAATGACGCTTTTACGCGTGGCGTTTTTCGTGTCGGTGTGCACACTCACATTGGCGCCCTTTGTTTAGTCACGAGGCGTTAAACGTCGGCGAATATCGCGCGCGAAATTCGTCCCGGTGTGAACAGGCCGGCTTCAAAAAGTCATGCTTTTAAAAGTCAAGTCATGGCACACGCTAGAAATTGGCAGCAATATGCAGGTCCACATGGAATCTGCACCTGCAGAAACAGAAATCTACATTTTTAGAGAATTTGAAAACCTGTCAGTCAACAAAATCCCTATCTACATTGTGTTTGTTTTTATGTATTTTTAAATAAAATTTAACCTGCGTATACAACTATCAATAAGAATGAATTCCCTTAAACAAATTATACGAACATGAAATGAGTGAGACATCGGTGGGATGTCATTTTACTCATTGTACTCACTGTATTGTACACATTTCTGTGTGA